TGGATTCACGTGGGCTGATAATTTTTTTATAAGTAGATACTTGTAAATCTTTTTGTTTTAATAAGTCTATACTCCCTATTCCTTTTTCTTGCTGTGAAATGCGATCATCTGATTCATTACTTTGTTTCTTTTATTATAGATGGATAATCAATAAAACAAGTCAATATTTTTCTTTATTAAATTATGTGCAACGTTTTGGTAGCTGATTTCCACCTTCATCAGTCGCCTGAAATAATTTATTATAATAATTGTACATACAGCAAAGCTTACAAAAAAGTCTCTATTATCGAGCATTTAATATAAACAGTGACCTTAACAGGTTTAACTCAAAATATCACAGTAATATACGATGACTAGAGCGTAGCAAAGAACGACGAATATAGTAAGTAGTGGCAAAGTGACAACAGATACATACACAATAGTGCTTCAGTACACAATGATCGAAAGAGAGATACAGCCGAAAAATATGAATGTAATCCAAAGAAATAAAAGAACTGTCCTTGAAAACAACAAGATTGTAGAAGACGTAATATTAAAAAAATTTAATGGTCATAGTATTAAATAATTTCAATAAAAACAGATAAATTAGAAATGAAATAGTAAGATGGAGGAAACAGAAATTCAATTGTTATAGTACTGAAAAATTATTTTTTCAAAACCTGTATAAGCGGGTTGTATACACTCTGCAAGCTCATTGTGTCTTCTTTTCTGTTTATGGCTGCACTCTGTAAACTAATATAGTCCTTTTTCTCCAGTTACTCTCTTTGTCTAAGATAGTAAAATTTTTTAAGTCAAAAATAAAGGTATAGTTATAACTTACTCACGTGATCAGTAATTACAAAATTTTTATGTAACTTCTTAGTATTTTTTTCATGTTCACCAACTCTAACAGAAACTTTGCGTTTATTTTTAGCCACATATGAGGCGTCACAGTCAAGGCAATGAATCCTATATACTACATTAGATTAATCCCCTCTCTCAGTTCGATCTTTTCGTTTTTTTATAATTTTTTTAGGTGCGTTGGTGATACTTAGTTTTTCTATTTGAGTATTCTTATCTTTCTATTTTTGACTTCAAATAAATAATCCAGGTTGCACAGTAAACGCTTTTTAGGTTCATGTTTTTTTTCTACATTATCAAACAGTGATCTAGCTATCTTCATTATTTTCATGTCCGAATCAATGTCTCTACAATGCTAAGAAAATAATTCAGCATGGAAAATCTTTTGACAAAGTGCACGATTTTTTTGCTACCTCAGGCAAAAAAAAATCGTTCTTTTGTGATTCAATAAAAAAATTATCAAAGATATTTATCCAGAAGGCGACTTATTTTTTTACGTTTGTAATATACTTTGTTGTCAATCTAGTTTTATCTATCTTCACATTTCTAGCATCAATCTTTTCATATTCACTTTTAGATTCCTTGTCGGTAGAGTTTTTTACTGCTTCCTCGGGAAAATTGAATTTTTATATAGTATCAATTACTTAATTAAATGCCTTTTGAAAATTTTTATCAGTATAATCACTTATTAATATCATCAAAACATTTAAAAAAAATATTTTAAATAACTTCAATTCGCTTGTAGTACTCAAATATCCTTCGCATTTTCAGTACATACATATCATTTTCTAATCAGAATTTTGTAAGCATTTTCATTTGCTAACAGCATGTATCAGATAAGCAATATTAGTTCTTATTTGAGTGAGAAGATGAACACATATGCCAGTACTTTATAAATATTATAAGCAAATGTCACTGTACGAGCTAAAATTTACAACATTGAATGCTAAGCATGCAGCATTTTGTAACGATTTACCCATATCAGTCGAAATGCTAAATGGGACTTTAGCTTCAGAAATATCTTACTTTGTAGCTAGAACGTGTATGTACATATTTAATTTTTTTCAGATTAAAGCTGAGAGACTGAAACTAATTTATTATTAATGTGTGTGCAAATAAAAGATAAAAATACGTGCTTAGAATCCCCTCTGTCTTTTATGATTTTTCTCACCAATGAACCTGTTCTATCCATCGATACTGTACTACCTTATTGTTGTAAGGTGTTGTTATACCAGTTAATTTGTTCTGAAGATCAATACGTTATGTGGAATTTATCTGTATAAACTTATTAAATTCTACACAATCTTTTAAGTAAAGAAAGATTCTATAAAACTTTCTTCTTGTTTTAGTCTCAAATTTTTTTTTTTAGCTTTTCGTTTAGCATATTACAGTTGTCGTAAATTATACACGTCTGTTGGCTCTTGATCACCATGCTGTATGTCTTGATTTACCTTGTATCTTCTTCATTGAACTGGCGTCTTGTGCAAAAATTCTTTTTTAATTTTTGTTTTTCTAACTTCTGTAGCTTAATTTTTTTCACATAAGAAATTTCTTTCGTATCTTGTGTAGTAATATAATATGTTACTGGATAATTTTCATGCAAACTTTGACTGATAACTCTTACAGTTTCATCATACTGAATCCAAGATCCTGCAGCTTTGATGTAAGAATCGTAGTTGTTAACTCAATGGCTTTTGAAACTAAATAAACATGGTAATTTTGCTTTCATTCTAATGAGCATTCTTATCAGCATTGGCTTTTGAAACTAAATAAATATGGTAATTTTGCTTTCATTCTAATGAGCATTCTTATCAGAGTTGTCCAACCATCTTGAATTCTTGCAGTAGCTTGTCTATCACTTTCTGTTTCATCAATAGGTTAAATGTTTTTTCAGTTATCAATGGAAATCTCTAAATCAAACATTATGTTAGCCGTTTTTAAATTTCTGCAATACAAGTCATTGATCTTTGGTTTCACTCAAGTAGCTTTCAAAATTTTAATTTTCTAAATCATCAATTTTCTTTTTGATGCCGTACATTTTATTGTAATTTGACAGCACGTTGTGTCGATCTTACTTAATATAATTGTAGGTATTTATTCCTGACATTAGACCACCACGTTCTTAACTTATGTTCATCTACACTTGGTTTTTCTTTTATTTTCAAGCAATATCTAGTATCATATAATTGAAAATTAATTATATCTGCTTCAGTTTTATCTGGAGTTACAGCAGACTGTCTATCAGGGACCGTTTCAATTTCTTATACATAATCTAACCTATCATTTAAAAAAATGACTTAAAACATTTTGACTAAACTAACGATTGACTCAACTGTAGAAGAGAGAACTTACACTAATGGAGCCTGAACAGTTCGGAAAAAAATAATCGCTCACAGTTTTTGTGTAATACTCAGACTGATACAATATTACTATCGATTCTATTGTATCATTGGCATTTTCATATAGAGTGTCAGCAATCCCTTCGAATAAAATTGTTATTAATTTATAGTAGAAAAAGTAGTTGTGGAGTCAATAAGAATTTTATAAACATGCGAGTTTTGATACGTTTTTTTGTAGAAAGCTTAACGTACTAATCTCCTATCCAGAGATACTTGAAGGGTTATGGGTTTGAATCCTGTCAGCAACTATCAAGATTTTTTTCTCATTTTTTTCCAATGAAATGAGTACCTCGGAGGCCAGAAAACTACTTTTTAGATTTGTAAAACAAACAGTAGATTCTATTGGTGATGTCTGGACTCTGGACCTCCAGGGGATTGCTTTTCGAAGAAAAGCCCACACCCGACCAGCAGCTCTTCAGGTTCAGTCCCTGTCAGTTATAAAAAAATCGGTACTGCGAGTGGTTTGTTAAAAAAGATTTTTTCATTAAACTTGATATCAGCTGAAGTGTGCTAGAGACAATCGCTGTTCCCTGTAAATAGTACTTCTAGTGGGATGGATGACTGAGCCGTCTGAGGGGAACGTTGCAAGGAGCCCGCACGAAGGACTTACATACTTGAGAAAATAGGAGATGGTAAGTGTTCGGGCGTTTTGTGACCCGCGTGCTCTGCGTCTTAATTTTACCGAAGCAATTAGTGCGCTATCCTTCTCTCTCCCTTGACACGCCGTCACCTTTTTGAGAGCTGAGTTTTCGCCGCGCCACCTGTTTTTCTCTATGGCGCAACAGGCCGCGCGGGCCTTGGTGATTAGCGTCTCAACTGCGGGAGAGGCATTTTCGGCGTCCCGCGTGTTGTATTGTAAGCGAGCGTGCGACTAATTAATCGGATAACCAACAAATGTATACGAGTGCCCAGGCGCTGGGATAGAATAGTAGTGTGAGTGAAGCGTGTGTGGTTTTGGTGTTACTCGGTGGGAGAAGGTGTCCACGGGTAATCGTGATCTTCTACGGCGAGCGCAACGCGGCAACAGAGTGTTGCCCGTCGTCCAAGCGTTTGGCAGCTCGAGACGTCGGGACGCGCTTGGACAGCCAGGTCTCGAATCTCCTGTGCGCTCCCGAGCCCCCTGCGGCACTTCCTCGACACCCATCCTCCGCGGTGCGGTGTTGGAGTATTTATTACGGACGGCGCAACTGAGGTAAGAGAGCTCTCTTTAGGTACTAAAGGATCCTCGCGAATCGTGTAGCGCGTTATCTTGTCACGTTGCGAGCGAAGCGTGTAAGGCGTAGCATTAAGGTTACTTATTTCTTACAATTATAATTGTTCTGTACCTTTTATTGACTGATTATATAAAAATATTACACTTACCCCGGCTTTCTCTCAATCCGCGAGAGTTTTATGCCTAGGTAAGTAGTGTCGTCCCGCGAATAATTGTTGTTTTTATTTATAAAAGAACCCGCTCTCACTCATCCATCCTACATTTTATCACCCTGAATATTATAAATCGGCTGCATATGTTCGCGTTGTCTCAAAGGAGAGTTGACCTTGTTCATGGTGCCCCGGGTGAGGAGTGAGTGCGAGGTTCTTTAGTAGCGTACTTTAGTTAGTTTGCGCATTTCATTGTAATCCATATATTTCGGTATGTAAAAAAGGCGTTTGCATTGCAACGGCTTGTTCTTAGAATTACAAATTCTTCAAGATTCTCGTGTTATTGAGATACTTTATTGTGCGCGAGTGAATTCGTCTGAGGTCGGAATAGAGTGCACAATGGCACCCGTAGCTCTGAGAAAGCTGACGTCTATGCAGGCGGCCCGCGAGGCTGAAATAAAAAGCATCCACGAGCGATTGATCGCGAAGCCACGTGAGTCACTTACGAGAGACATTGTGAAGGCCCGACTCGATGCCATCAAGGAGGTATGGACTGAGGCGCGAAAAACCAACGCGGATATAGTCATTCGAGACGATGTTGAGGCGGACGCGTACATCACGGATAAATGGTTCGAGCGTATGCAGGGCGTGTATGAGGGTGCTTTGGACGAGATGCTTATGATGCTTGCCCCTTTCGAAAAGGACGCTGATAGCAGCATTTCAGATGCGGGCTCTGAGTCGCGTGTCGCGAGGCTGCCTCGACTACCGCTGCCTACCTTTTCGGGCGCATACGAAGAATGGGCGAGCTTCTGCGATTTATTCACTTCGCTGGTGCATAATGACTCCCGCTTATCAGACGCCACGAAGCTTCAATACTTGAAGTTGTGCTTGACGGGCGGGGCCGCGGAGCTCATCAGGGACGTGTCGACAACGAACGCGAATTACGTGGGTACATGGAAAGCGTTGAGGACTCGGTACAATAACCCGCGCTTAATAGTCAACAAGCTACTTAGGTCATTCATGGAGATTCCGAGTATGAGAGTAGAGTCGGCGACTGCCATGCGAGCGTTCGTGGATGAATCGCAGCGTATTGTTCGGGCTTTGGAAAACTTACAATTGCCAGTCAGGCACTGGGACGTGTGGCTAGTATTTTTGCTGGCTGATCGGTTGGATGCGGAGTCACGAAAATTGTGGGAGGCCGAGCTCAGCGCTAGAGATTTGGAGGATAGCGCAGACGGGAGCCCTGACGGGCCGGATGCCCTTAATTCTCAGCCGAAGTATTCTGATTTAGTTCGATTTTTGGAAAAGAGAGCCCAGGCTCTTGGCATGATTTCGACGGATAGAAAGGCGGAAAAGAGACCGGTGTCTGGCTCGGCACCGGCACAGGCTCGGAAAGTTTTTCACGCGGGCGCGACTCAGCAATCTGCTTCTTCGAGGTGCCTCTTGTGCTCGGGAGCGCACCCACTGTGGAAGTGCACTAAAATGAAGGAGAAGGCTCCGCATGACCGATACTCGACGGCGCGTCGGCTACAGGCCTGCTTTAATTGCCTCGGGTCGCATAAGGCTAACGCGTGCCCTTCTTCGGGGCGTTGTACCAGTTGCGGAGGCAAGCACCACTCGATGCTTCACCTCAAGCCTCCAGGAAAATCTGAACGGCAGAACTCGAGTGGTTCACAGCAGCAGGGATCGGGCGGCGGTCAGGGCGTGGGGTCCAGGGTCGGCGCGGCTGCTGTAGCGTTGCATGCGTCCGCGATTGCGACGTTGAGTCGCGGAGTCCTTTTGGCTACTGCTCGAGTGACGGTGGTGGGTCCAGCTGGAGATAGCACCGTCGTTTGCGCCCTTTTGGATCAGGGCTCCGAGGCGTCCTTCGTATCAGAGTCGGTCGTGCAGTTGTTAGGCCTTTCGAAGGAGCGTGTTTGTGTCGCTTTGAGCGGCCTGGGCACCAGTTCGGTGGGTATTGCGCGTGCGACCACGGAACTTGTTTTGAAATCATCGACCGATGAGGGCTTCGCGATTCGGACAAGCGCGTTTGTCCTCCCTCGTCTCACTACGCAGCTCCCGGCAAAGAATATCACTGATTTAGACTTGAGACGCTTCACCGGGTTTAAGCTCGCTGATCCGGAATTTTTCATTTCAAAGAAAATCGACCTCATTCTGGGTGCCGATGTTTATGGGCAGTTGCTCCGACCGGGCTTGGAAAGATTGGTTCCTTCACGGATCGTCATGCAAAATACGGCATTTGGATGGATTGTCTCGGGTGGGTTGCATGAGGAGCGCTCACGGCGGGCGGAGCAAGCTGACTCTCGAGTGTATGTACAGGCGCTGCACTGCGCTGCGTCGGATGAGTTGGAACGGTCACTAAAGCGATTTTGGGAGCTCGAGGACTTACCGGTGACGCAGGTTAAAATGAAGCTCGAGGACGAGGCTTGCGAGAAAATATTCAAAGAGACGCATGGGCGCGACGCGGATGGAAGATATGTCGTGCGGCTGCCATGGAAGGCAGATTTACCGTCTGGAGCGGCTGAAACAAGGCGGATGGCCGTTGGCTCCCTTTCTTCCATGTACCGTCGGTTTGCGCGCGATCCCCAATTGGCGCATAGTTATCAACAATTCATGACGGATTATGAGCGACTGGGCCATATGACACGGGTTCCGGACTCTGAGGTGCGCGAGGATAAAGCGTGGTATTTGCCTCACCATGCCGTGGTGCAGTCAACGACGGCTGATTGGAAGCTGAGGGTAGTCTTCGACGCATCGCGGCGAACTCGGGATGGCCTTTGCCTTAACGGATTTCTGCACACGGGTGCTCCACTCCAACGAGACCTCTCGCTAGTTTTACTCAATTGGCGGCGTTATTTGTACGTGTTTACCGCGGATATAGTTAAAATGTTTCGACAGATCCGCGTGAAGCCGGAGGACCAGGATCGACAGAGAATTGTGTGGGCGCCTAACCCGGACTCTGTCCCACGAGATTACCGCTTAACTACGGTCACGTACGGCACGGCATGCGCGCCCTTTTTGGCGATACGAACTCTGTTACAATTGACCGAGGATGAGGGCTCGCGGTTTCCGCTGGGAGCGGCATGTCTCAGCACTGAAACATACGTCGACGACACGTTCGCCGGGGCCGATGAACTGACGGACGCGCTGCAAAAAAGGAACGAGCTCGTTAAGCTGCTGGGTTGCGCCGGGATATCACTAGATAAATGGGCCGCAAATCACCCAGAGCTTATCCCTCCTCGACTAGCGCAGGAGGACGTAAAACAAATCGACGAGGACCAGTCAGTAAAAACACTCGGCGTGCATTGGAGTCCTGCTCACGATCAATTTAGATTTAGTTGTAGAGACGTCGCAGAATTGTCAGCTGCCTCCACGAAGCGGACGGTTCTCTCAAACATTGCTCGACTATTCGATCCGCTTGGCTGGCTGTCCCCGGTGACAGTAGGAGCGAAAATCTTAATGCAGGATCTGTGGATTCAAAAATGCGATTGGGATTCTCCTCTACCGGCGGAGATTCGCGAGCGTTGGTACGAATACTGCAAGTCATTGGCCAATCTGCCGTCGCTGGCAGTCGACAGATGGTTGGGCGTTGCAGGTAATTGCTCATTACAAATTCACGGATTCTCTGACGCGTCATCGCGGGCCTTCGCGGCCGCCGTATATCTGCGCGTGGATGGAGGGGACCGACATATTAAGGTGTCACTGTTAGCCGCAAAGACGAAGGTCGCTCCGGTAAAGACCGTCAGTATACCGAACTTAGAGCTTTGCGGCGCCGCTCTGCTTGTTAGGTTGATTGGCCACTTGATGAAACTGGACTTTCTTAAAACAGCTCCGGTCTTCGCTTGGTCCGACAGCCAGATTGTGCTTATGTGGCTGCGCAGGCACCCCTGTTCTTGGAAAACCTTTGTTGCAAATAGGGTGTCGTTCATCCAGACGGAGTTGCCCTCTGCAACTTGGAGGCACGTGCCGACAAAGGAAAATCCGGCTGACTTGGCGACACGAGGAGCCGATCCTATAGAGTTGGCGGAGAATGGGCAGTGGTGGCACGGGCCTCGATGGCTCGCTGAGGCTCCGGAGCAGTGGCCGGAGGCAGCGGAAAGTCGCCGAGTCGCTCACGTTCGTCAGTTGCCGTCCGAGTCGGATTTGTTGACGAGATTTTCTTCGCTGACCCGTTTAATTCGCGTAGTCGCATACTGCAGGCGTCCAATGCTCATACTGCGTGGGCGTAAAAAGAAGATGGAGCCATTCCCACCGTTTCTTACGGCATCCGAGTTGGCGGATTCGCGTAAAAGTGTCATCAAACTATCACAGGATAGTAGCTTCGCCGGTGAGTTAAAATTGCTGAGAGAGGGCAAGAGCTTGCCGAAACGCGGTCGACTTAGTAAGCTTAACCCTTTTCTTGACAGAGAAAGTAGAAGGTAGATGATCTTGGGCGCTTTGTGGCACGTACCTGAATCGGACCCGCGTATTCCAATCCTGTCACTAAAAACGGCCTGCCCGCGGTGACTCGATCTGCTGGAAGCTCCCCCATTAATTTGCTAGGTCGACTGTGGTTTGACGTGCTGACAGATCACACATTTACGGACCACCGTCTTTACCAACTTATTTCTACCCAAGATCCAAACGTGCTGCATTAACAGGCTGGAAGTCAAGGTGGGGCCACCATGCAGGCAATGTTGATGAGCATAACGCGTAAATAAAAGGCTGAGATTGGAGTTTTGCGCCAAAATCGACGGGTGCTTGCTCTCGAAAGAAAGAGTCGAATGTTCCAGTCGCCCTCCCACGCGCAAAATACCATCTCTGTCAAGAAAAGGGTTAAGCTTACTAAGTCGACCGCGTTTCGGCAAGCTCTTGCCCTCTCTCAGCAATTTTAACTCACCGGCGAAGCTACTATCCTGTGATAGTTTGATGACACTTTTACGCGAATCCGCCAATTCGGATGCCGTAAGAAACGGTGGGAATGGCTCCATCTTCTTTTTACGCCCACGCAGTATGAGCATTGGACGCCTGCAGTATGCGACTACGCGAATTAAACGGGTCAGCGAAGAAAATCTCGTCAACAAATCCGACTCGGACGGCAACTGACGAACGTGAGCGACTCGGCGACTTTCCGCTGCCTCCGGCCACTGCTCCGGAGCCTCAGCGAGCCATCGAGGCCCGTGCCACCACTGCCCATTCTCCGCCAACTCTATAGGATCGGCTCCTCGTGTCGCCAAGTCAGCCGGATTTTCCTTTGTCGGCACGTGCCTCCAAGTTGCAGAGGGCAACTCCGTCTGGATGAACGACACCCTATTTGCAACAAAGGTTTTCCAAGAACAGGGGTGCCTGCGCAGCCACATAAGCACAATCTGGCTGTCGGACCAAGCGAAGACCGGAGCTGTTTTAAGAAAGTCCAGTTTCATCAAGTGGCCAATCAACCTAACAAGCAGAGCGGCGCCGCAAAGCTCTAAGTTCGGTATACTGACGGTCTTTACCGGAGCGACCTTCGTCTTTGCGGCTAACAGTGACNGGCACTGGGACGTGTGGCTAGTATTTTTGCTGGCTGATCGGTTGGATGCGAAGTCACGAAAATTGTGGGAGGCCAAGCTCAGCGCTAGAGATTTGGAGGATAGCGCAGACGGGAGCCCTGACGGGCCGGATGCCCTTAATTCTCAGCCGAAGTATTCTGATTTAGTTCGATTTTTGGAAAAGAGAGCCCAGGCTCTTGGCATGATTTCGACGGATAGAAAGGCGGAAAAGAGACCGGTGTCTGGCTCGGCACCGGCGCAGGCTCGGAAAGTTTTTCACGCGGGCGCGACTCAGCAATCTGCTTCTTCGAGGTGCCTCTTGTGCTCGGGAGCGCACCCAATGTGGAAGTGCACTAAAATGAAGGAAAAGGCTCCGCATGACCGATACTCGACGGCGCGTTGGCTACAGGCCTGCTTTAATTGCCTCGGGTCGCATAAGGCTAACGCGTGCCCTTCTTCGGGGCGTTGTACCAGTTGCGGAGGCAAGCACCACTCGATGCTTCACCTCAAGCCTCCAGGAAAATCTGAACGGCAGAACTCGAGTGGTTCACAGCAGCAGGGATCGGGCGGCAATCAGGGCGTGGGGTCCAGGGTCGGCGCGGCTGCTGTAGCGCTGCATGCGTCCGCGATTGCGACGTTGAGTCGCGGAGTCCTTTTGGCTACTGCTCCAGTGACGGTGGTGGGCCCAGCTGGAGATAGCACCGTTGTTTGCGCCCTTTTGGATCAGGGCTCCGAGGCGTC